GAATTGTGTATAGCAAATAAAATTACAGCAGACAAACCAATTTTCAATTTTGTTAAAATCAAGTAGAAATTTTTATGTTTTGAAAATTGAAAAGGCTTCGATCAAAGTAACATATTGAGAGATATCCTGACAAGTTATATATTTTTCCTGGAGTGTCACTAATTTCCATGTACTTTGAATCAGGTGGAAGTGATTACTCATTTCCTGAATATAGGACAGAGCAGGAAATATCAGATTAGTTTCAGATTGGACCAAAATCAATGTTTTCTAAAATAACTCTGTTACCTTCTAAAAAGTCTCAAGACAATCGTTTTCTTTTATTGCTCATATTTTAAATATATAATTAGTTTTTTCTCAAGTCTATTTCTAAGGCATTAGCTTGGATGCTTTATCCTCTTACGTATCACTGAAGGATCTGTACGATATTTAACAATTTAATTTGGAATCACACAATTCCAAAATAATAAATAATATTCCAATGATATAAAAAGAATGAAAAACTGTTTTGCTTAGATGGCATGAAGAATAAATAGTATCAGAATTTTCCATGTTCCTTTTGCCTGACCACACTAGTAAACTTCAAAAGGCTTATTCAAAGAATTGCAGGTAAGTTCCTTAAATCAAACAGAGACAATGCCAATATATTTCATAATATGCTTGGAAGTCTTTAGTATAATTTTTGTGCAATAGTTACAACATATGTATGACTGAAAAAAGTCTTAATAAATACAAGTGGTATCAACATTTATGTGTTTCCAATTGATGATAAATTTAACAGAATATAATAATTCTATCTAAGTTCCTAGACTGATTTCTTTAGTCTAAAGAAAATTTTGGCTTCCAGTTTTGTGCAGTAACACAGCAGCTGAGGGATCGCGGGGCTTGGAACTCTACAGTTGATGGTCCTGAAGCTGCCCGGGAGAGGTGACAAAGGATGGAAGCCTCACTGACTGTGGAGAGATGGTGGTCGATCTGATCGTTCGAGGAAAGAAACCAGAAGGAGAAAGGCTAGCTTCACTCCAGAGTCTAGCCCAAGCTTCAAGCAACCAAAGCCCAAAAGCACTATTTTAAGCTGATGGTAAACAACATTCTTGGATCTGGGTAAGAACATTGATTTTCTCTCTTCTATTTGATAATTGATTTCCTGGAAAAAAAAACCCCAAGAAGCAAAAAGCCTCTGAAAGTGAGAAGCAGGGAGATCTTTGCCCTATCTTTCTACAGACAGAAGCAACGAATTAAACTTTTTATAGGGGACAGAAATATACTGAAATGAATATAAGACCTAAATTTGGATAAGTTTGAAATTGGTGGAATTTGTTAAGACTTTCTCTTTAAATCATGAAAATAGAAGAAAAGCAATTGTTTATTTTGAAAATTGAAAAATGAACTGGTGCTGACATCTGGTAGTGGATGAAAATATACAATATACAATAGTAGTTGCTCCAATACAGGAACTGGCAAAGCCCAGCTTTTGTAACCTTCAATGTCTTAATAGCAGAGAACAGCTGTGAAAAAAAAAGAAAATATTTTGGGCTACCTACAAAGTGAGAATTATAAATTGACCTTTCTGGATTACAAATACTTATTCAACTGTGACTTTAAAGCTGTCTGCTTGATTTTTGGCTATCATGGAAATCCAGAGATCTGCAGAAATAATATACCAAGAAAAAACAAACACTTTCCAGGAGGAGATATATGCTATGTTGCAACTAATTCAACAATTATCTCAAACAACAAAGAAATTAAAAATAACTTTGAAAATATCAATGAAAACATCTCCAATTTAACTTTACAACAAAAAAACTCTCGGAAAATAAAAATAGAGAGTGAGCAGATAAAACAGACAACTGAATATAAACTAGAGGAAAGAGATTTAAAGATAGAACTTAACAATAGAAGAAATTATGACATAACCCAGATGGAAAAAAACTTGCAGGAAACATTGGACATGGAAAAGATAACATATACTTTTAAGATCACAAAATAAATCTGAGGACAAGAAAGAAGATTTGTCAAAATGGATTATAGAGCTGTCAGGAGAACTATGAGAACTTGAGAGACAAAATATGATAAGAGAAATTAAGAGAGAAGAGATTTTCAATGAATATAAAATATTTCCCATAAAAATATCTTACTTGATTTGCTTTTTGTACCTACAACATCTACAAGACTATGGGAAGACTCTTTGATTCAGCGGACATATTGATTAGGAAAGATGTTTGGCAAAAAAAAAAGGCTAAAGTGAGAATTAAGAAATTAGATGATGGAATTTATCAGAGGGAATATTTAAAAATTAAACATCTGTTTGAATATGGTTAAAGAAATAGAAAGATTTTGGATATAAATGAATTTTAATTTAAGAGGGATAAGCCCCTCAAGTAACATAGTATTTTTTCTTTCTTTTAACATGAGAAATATAAAAATGTTACACTTAAATTTTAGATACTTAAGTGTAATTGATCTTGAGAAAATTTCAATGGATAAAAATGTTTTGAACAGACTTAAGGGATTAGATAATTGGATTTATTAAATGAACATTTAAAGATTATATTTGAATATAATATATATATTTGAATATGCTTAAAAAAGAGAAAAAAATTCTAGATATAAATGTACATAAGCCTAAGAGGGACATGTACAGTATTTTAAGTAGAATACTATCTTCGTATTTCTTTTTCTTCTCTTTTTTATTTAAGATATGAGAAATGTAAAAGTGTTGGGATGGCCTGTATGAGGAAAAAGACTTAAATAATTAAGTGTAATTAACTTTGAGAAAATCTTAACCTGTAAGAATGTTTTGAATATTGTGGGGGAAATAAATTTAAATAAGAATTTTGTAAACAGGATCTATGATGAGGCAATCAAGATAAACAGTTAGATGTGAACATACTGATGTGGTTATTATTTGCAGAAATACTAGAAAATGTTTATATTTAATTATTTATCAAAATAATAAGAATTGTAAGATCAAGCAAAGCTACTATGTGGACTGTAGAATTATAGAAACTAATTGTTATTGTTTTTTAAATATAAACCCAATCAACACGCTGTTTACCAAATATTAAGATGATTATGTTAAAAATCAATAAAACTTTTTTTTTAAATTAAGCTAAAATTAACTTTGGGGAATCAGTTCATTGAACTTGCTCATCTAACGTATTTCTTTAAAAATTACATTGCATGTCCTCATTCTTAATAATATAAAGCACAATGCTGAATACTAAACAGATTTTTAAATGACATGTTTCTTTGGGAGCGGAAAGTTCTTTATCAAAAAAAGATTAAAGTTATTTTAGCCATATTAAGTTAAAGGTTAGTTAATTAGCCTTATTAAAAAGGTTAAAGTTATTTAGCCTTATTTGCATTGTGTAATACTTTTACACAAGTCACCTCTGCTCATGTTTTATATTCTTGTTTGAAACAGTATCATCAAGTGTCATGTGGCATTGCAAGTGATGTTTTTGTTACATTTTTTCCTTTTTTGAAAGATATACCACAGAACATGTGGTTAAGATCTTGTGAATTAAATATAGAATCATCATTCTAAACCTTAGCTGGATTGTGCTAATTCACTTTAAAATTTTCCCCTTATTTGGATCAGGGATCAGCTTATTTTTTAGCTGCAAGTTTGGTATACCAAATAAAATAATTTTCTTCACTTGATAATTATGGAGGAAACACCATAGCTATATTCATTGGCATTCCTTTGGGTTCTTCCTTAATTCCTTGATTTCAGGAACGAGAAGCTCTATCTTTTTTATTATCCTTTCATTCCATAAGTTCTTTTCAAGACTTAGCTTTAGATAATTTCTATTCATATAGCATTTTATTGTTTTTTTAAACTAAATTTGTTGTAACTGCCCACTTCTGTAAACACTGGTGGCTTTCTTCCTGTGATAATTTAATTACATACACAATTATTTGTGACTTACTGAATTTTTAAAGATATGCACTACAGAAATATGAACTATTTTACTAAAAACAAGTATCCATCATTAGTTAGAAATAAAGTTCAGAGTTCAATAAATTTCATCGCCTATGTATGCTTCAGCTTTATTCTCCAATTATATTTAGAAATTTTGTGTAGCAGCAGTGAATAAAAAGAGAAATATTTTAAATCTTATTTTTTTCCCATTGATTTTGGGGATAGAAAATGAAGCCCACAATCTTTAACTATCTGTTGTTTCATCTGATTATAGGGGAGTTTAGACTCTTCAATACACCCAAACAACTGCTACATTGAGCTTTATCAGGGAGTTCAATTGTTTAGGCAACACATCTAAAGATTATTCTCTTATTCATATTATTTCCACTCCATCATCTTCTGCAGCTTTGCATTTAACGTAGTTAGGCTAAAACATTTTAATAGAACTAATTCTGTGGCATATGACGTCAAAGAGAAATGGAATAAAGCTACTCATTATAGTTTCAATAATGGCTCAATAATAGTTTCAATAATAGTGCAGGATCGTCTATGTTGCTTTTCTGTTAGGAAACAGAACCTCAAAAAAAAAAAAAAAAAAGAATTGATAAGCAGAATGAGAAGAGACAAAGAAAGGTATTTGTCCTATTATTTTTTGTTATGTACAATAATTAAAGTGGTGCTGCCTGTTATATTACATATAGGACATCGTTCTTGAGTCCTCCAAATATGTGTTTATTTCAATAAGCATTAGCTCTTAATTATACCTCAAGAGATATGTATTTTAAATTCTAGCATTTAACAATTAATAATAATTACATATTCTGATTGCACTGGAGGTTAGTTTTGCTGCTTTGAATAATTTAGCTGCACCACATTGTCTCGCCCAATTCCAACTGATGTAGTTCATATGAATTATGATTTCACATTAAAAAATTCGGTTTCGTTCATAAGTGTTTTCACCTTTATATGATATATATGTATAAAAATCAAGGATAAATGAATGAGATATTGACCAATTTCCAATTGTGAAGACATAATACAATTAAGATGCAAAGGATAAACATATAGCTTGGAATGCTTGGTGAATATTCTTTTTTAATTAACATAGATAGAAGTAAACATTAACATTTGGTCAAGTGTAGAATAATTTGCATTCATATTTTCATTATTACTAATGGAGGTATGTGTAGATACATGGAGACCTTGGTTTCATATTGCATACAGGGTAATTGTCCATTGGGAATTAAAGATGAAAAGCATGATAGTTAATTCTTAAAGGAAAGCTGTTCTTCATGCACAGCTTTTATTTCTCCTGTCTTTTCCATTAGAAACAAAATACTGAAAGTCAAATTCATATGGTAGCAGGAGGGAAAGATGCCATTGACAGGGAAAAAATTCAACCCTCCTTTTTTTCATTCAAGTCCAAAGGTACTAGTTTCTTCAACAGCTGTCAACAGCTTTTCACAGAGCATAGAATATGATGGATAGGGTGGAAGATCCAGGCGATTGAAACAAGTATGGGCCCTGCAAAATGAAAATAATATGCAAAGCTTTAAAAACAGCATCTTTGTCCGAAATAATCTAATCTACATCACTTGCCTTATTGATCCTTTTAAACCTGTAAATACAAATGAAACCACGTATTTGTGAAGAATGCTGTGTTTGTTATTACTGTGTAAATTAACAATGAGTTTAAAAGAACATTGAAATGTTCAAATCCTTTGCACAATTCTTCCCTCTCTCCATGTTTTCTAAGTCACAATTTTCCATTTGAACTGTAAACATAACTTCCCCACAACTAGTAAAAAAGACTGGAAAGGAAAAATCCTTTTAAGCTCTAAGGATAGTACTTATAAGAAGATTGATAGACCTGTATTTGTAGCTATAATTCTGGACCTGGTATCTCCTCAATTCAAATATTCGGGAGGTATGGTTATTCTCTACTTCTCCAAAGGCAAGAATTATGAAATATCAAATAGGACTCTTGGTGATTTTTGCCATTTTGTGTAATTCTTTCTGAGTCATATAAACTGGCTCATGATTTTCAGTGAAATATAAAAGACTTGGATGTTTTCCTTTGATTGTTCATTTTTTATTTATTTAGTTGATCTATTCATTGGTTTTTACTATAATTGTTGAATTTGTGTAGATATTGCATGTTTAAATATGATTTTAAAGATAAATATCTTGGGTGACTTCAGGGGCACTGTAACAGCCATATCTTTGAAGATAAGCCATTTGTTCAACATCATAACTATAGTTGCTGAATGAATTGTTGTTGAGTGAGGACTATCTATTGCAGTATAAATGATGAATAAATGAATATTCAAATTTAAGTAATGGTGCAATATAGTGCATAGATGGTAGCACAAATTTGGCAACCTGGGAGAATGTTTTTAAAAGAAGTAAGTGGAAATTGTACTCTCTGCCTGGAAATTTCTTCAAGATCAGATAAATGAAAAGTGTGTCTATAATCTTTATATAGGGAGCAACATAGTAGCATATTGATTAGAGTTTTTGTTGAGGCATTATCACATGGAAATAACTGTAGAATACTCCAAAAAGGAGTTCTGAGGGTGATGTATCCAGCCTGTCTAAAGTGAACGCCTTACAAAATTTCAAAATTCTGATAAAGGACAAATAAGAGGCTAAAGCAAACTCTTTCAAGGTGAGATTGCTTAAATTTGTTGAAGTTCTATACCTGAAATTTAATGTATGAGGACAGTTCTAGCATTGTCAAAACCTATTGAACATATATTTTCTATAGAGAAGCCCAGTAGGTGAATTTTATCTATGACTTTTTAAAGCTATGATTATTATTTATGGTGCCGAATCTATAGGAAATAGGATTAGGTTTAGCCAAAGGCAATAAGAAGAAACCATATAACCTAGCATAGGGGTCTCCAAACTGTGGCCAATGGGCTACATCTGCCCACCCCCCCGGAATTTTCCAGCCTGCCAACCCTCCCACGTCCTATGCTTCTATCCTTTCCAAACAGCACAGGGAGAGAAAGGAGGGTTGTATTCATCACTGTTTGGAAATGAAGATAGGATTCCCTCAATTTCTGTGATGGGGAAGGGGTTGTGAATCAGCTGAAGGATTGCTGGACGAGGAAGGGGAAGCATAGCTTCTCTCTGCTTTTCTGTTTGCTCATGTTTGACATTTTTCTTATATTATTTGTCCATACAACCACAGCAGTTTCTGCATAGTTGTCACATATCTTTTTTGCTGTTGTTGTAAGGCATATCACATTGAGCAAAATAAAACACATTCATTCAATTACATTTTATTTACTCATTTATAAAATTGATTTTTGCCCTTGAATGTTTGCAAAGTGTCCAATGTGGTCTTCAGACTGAAAAGTTTGGAGACTTCTGTTCTAGCATACAATGAGACTATAACTACATTAAGATAATATTTTTTATGTTTTTTGAAACTATCTGAATGGCTCTATAAACCTATTTTGAATAGTTTCAAGAATATTGAGTCTTTCAAAAGAGCAGATTTGGGAGACATAAAAAGCTGAAGGACTGTTTAGCTTTGTAAAATTTATTGTGGCTTCAGCATCTCCTCAGTGCTTCGGGTGTGGAGCATGCCACAAGCGCACAGACTGCAGATTCTGCTCCGCCATTTGCCGGGCATGTGGAAGGCAAGGCCAAATTGCCTCCATCTGTTTGGGTCGCCAGAAGGTCCAACCTCGGGAAGAATTGCTTCGGAAAGGTACCAGGGTCCCCAGCCAACACAGGGTGGGTTTCTGCACATCGCGCAGGAGTATTCTGAGGACAGGGACACACAAGCCCCTTAAGAAAAAGCTTCACATTGACGTGAAGTTGCAAGGGGTTCTCTTGTCAATGGAAGTGGACACAGGGTCCACTCTGTCAATCATTTCACATGACACCTTCAAAAGGATTTGCAGCAGTAGTGGCCTTCGAGTCAAACTCAGGCCATCGAACTTAATCCTCACTGACTTCCAGAATTCCAGAGTCAGTGTGAAGGGGGAGGCTACGCTCAAAGTGCAGCATAAGGCTTTTGAAGGCTTACTAGATGTGGTGGTAGTTGGGGGTGATCGCATGAGTCTCATTGGACTCGATTGGTTCAAGGCCCTTGGAATCCAAGTGACTGGGCTGCACAGCCTGCAAACACCAGGCCTTGCAGAAGTCTGCAGGGAGTTTGCTGATGTGTTTAGCTCAGAGCTTGGTTCTTACAAGGGGCCTCCCATTGCCCTATGCTTAGACCCAACTATCACACCTATTAGGATTAAGCCTAGAAAGGTGCCTTTTGCTCTCAAGAGCAAAATTGATGCAAAGCTGGACAAGCTGCTCCAGCAGGGCATCTTAGAACTGTGGACTCTAGTCCATGGGAAATCCCATTGTAACACCTTTAAAGGCTAATGGAGAAGTCCGAATTTGCGTGGACTATAAATGTATATTGAACAAAGCACTGCAACAGCACGCATACCCAGGCCCTGTGGTAAGCCACATTCTGGCCTCCCTCAAGGCGGGGGGGGGCGCATTTTTGCAAAACTCGATTTGGCACAGGCCTACCAACAGCTACCTGTTGATGAGGCAACAGCTGAGGCTCAAACAATAGTAACACACAGAGGAGCCTTTAAGGACCAAAGATTGCAATTTGGGGTTAATGTAGACCCTGCCATATTCCAAAGTGTCATGGAGCACACACTTCGTGGTATTCCTGGGGTCTGCCTCTATTTTGATGATGTCCTTATTGCTGGGGAGTCATCTCAAAACCTAGCTGAGAGATTAAGGGCTGTCTTGCTTCGTTTCCGCCAAACAGGTCTGAAACTGAAGCAAGAAAAATGTAAGATTGGAGTCACTTCCACTGAATTCTTAGGTTTCAGAATTGATGCTCAAGGCATCCATCCTGCTGAATTGAAGCTTCAAGCGATTCAGCAGGCCCCAAGCCCCAAGTCCAAAAGTGAGCTGCAAGCTTTCTTGGGGCTCTTAAATTTCTATCACGTATTTCTTCCACACAAGGCTGCAGTGGCTTTTAGATAAACAATTTCCATGGCAGTGGACTAAAGTCCATGAAAGGAGTTTCAATGAGGTTAAGGCCTTGCTCTCTTCAAATGCTGTATTAGCGCATTTCAATGAGCAACTGCCTGTGTGCATTGCATGCGATGCATCTCCTTATGGGGTGGGAGTAGTACTTAGCCATCTGAAGGCTGATGGGACATAAGTCCCTGTGGCCTACTACTCAAGGACTCTGACATCTGCAGAGAGGAATTATGCTCAGATTGACAGAGAAGCCTTGGCCATAGTGGCTGGCATAAAAAAAATTCCATGATTTCTTATATGGCTGCCACTTCACAGTCTACACAGACCATAAGCCTCTGCTGGATTTGTTTACCACCAACAAACAGACACGACATATCATTTCTCCTCGTATGCTGAGATGGTCCATTTTCCTGTCAGCATATGACTACACTCTAATTCATAAACCTGGAAAAGAGATGGGCCATGCAGATGGCCTCAGTAGATTACCTCTAAAACAGATAGAGGCAGATTCTGCTCCTGCTATTAATATTCTTTCCATTCAGGAGTTGCCTGAATCTCCCCTCAATGCTAGGGACGTGGCTGCTGAAACTGCCACTGATCACATGCTCACATGCGTGTTGACATGGGTGTTGTCAGGGTGGCTTGACACATGTCCAGATACGGAGTTTCAAAGCTTCTGGCAAAGGAAGCATGAACTTTCCACTTTCAAGGGGTGCCTTTTATGGGGTAGTAGGGTAGTCATCCCAGCCTCATTGAGGTCTAGAATCTTGCTCTCTCTGAATGAGGCAGGTATCCAGGCATAGTAAGGATGAAAGCGCTTGTGCGCAACCATCTCTGGTGGCCTGGGCTCGATAAAGCCATCGAGGCCCAGGTGCATGGTGCCAAGTGTGCCAGCAGTCAAGGCCTGAAATGCCTCAGGCCACAGTACATAGGTGGGAGGAAACACAAACCCCATGGTCACGGATACATATAGATTACGCTGGGCCCTTTCAGGAGCAATTCTTCCTTCTCCTCGTTGACAGTCATTCCAAGTGGCTAGAGGTTGTTCCTGTTTCCTCCACTACTACTGCCACGACCTTTCAGGTGTTGAGAGAGATCTTCGCCTCACATGGACTTCCAGATGTCCTGGTTTCAGATAATGGCCTCCAATTTACCTCTTTTGAGTTCTGGCTTTTCTTCAGGCCAACTTGATCCAGCATGCGACTTCTGCTCCCTTCCACCTATCTTCCAATGGCCAGGCAGAGAGGATGGTGCGCACTACCAAAGATGCTCTTAAGAGACTCACTTACGGCAGCTGGCATCACAGGTTAGGTGATTTCCTTCTTCCACATCGCACGACACCTTGCACAGCACAAGGAAGAGCCCAGCAGAACTCCACTGGGGTTGCCGCCTCGTCACGAAACTGCACAGGTTGCACCCAGACAGGGTGGCTTCACAGGTGTCACAGCCATGGGCACCTAGGAAACTACAGGTGGGCGAGCCAGTCTGGGCAAGGAACTATGGCCCTAGACATCTCTGGGTCACAGCAGTGGTATGCAAGGTCTCTGGGCCACTGCCATATGAAGTGGCCTTGGACGATGGGCGCGTCATCAGATGACACATTGACCAACTGCCTTGGAGGCTCTCCAGCAACGTTTCCACGCCTAGCTCTGCTCTCAGGGGGAGGAGGACCATAATTTGCATTCTGGGCCACAGTCTCCCAGCTCCAGTTCACATGTTCCCGTGGCAGAATGGGGACATTCACAGAATTCAGTTATTGCTCCAGATCGGGGGTCATCCCAGGCTTCAGCAAGTGCTCCAAACAGGAATTCTGCTGAAAGGGGGTTTGCCATGGAGGTGGCTCCTGACTCTGGCACCTCCGACACGCACACGGGGCCAATGGAGTATTGGGGCACATCAGCCACTCAGGCCACTCCAGCTGCTGGTCTTGGGCTTGAGGGACAGTGCTCCCGAGATGAGTCCATTGTAGATTTGGGGAATTCCACCCCCCCCCAAGGAACCCTGGCTGGAATTCAGAGGATTCAGCCAGTCAGCAGCTGGGTAGGGCGCCTGAGCTTTTGGGGTATCAAAGTCCTGGTCTGCCTAGCCTGGCAGGCAAGCTGGCAGGCCAGGCACACTCACCGGCCATCAGGAGGTCACAACGGGCCAAGGGCCCACCTAAACATCTTGAGGTTTCTGTCAATTCTAAGGGAACCTTACTAGTCCTTAAACAAGATGCAGAACAAAACACTCAGTGAAGGGGTGTTATTTTCAGCTTATTATTTGTTCTATTTTCTTTCTGAATGATTGTATATGTAAGAGTGCTTGCCTGTGTGCAGGCAACTGTGATTCCATTAACCCTCAGTCCCTTGAACACATGTACCTGTGCTGTTACATCATAAGGTATATTGTTTTATCTAGGGGGGAGGGGTGTTGTGTCTTGAGCCTGCTTTAACATTCAGCAGGCTCAGAAATGTTGCAAATGGTCCTGGGCAGACCAAAAGCTGTCGCCAGCCTTGTGCACATGTGCAAAGCGCAAAAACAGCCAGATTCCTATTGGCTGACACTGTCCGGGTTTAGGACAGTATAAAAGGCCTGCATGCCTTTTTGGTTGTTGCTGGTTGTAAGGAGAAGTCAATAAAGAAAGCTTGATGTTCACCATGTGTCTTCGTTTAATGTCTGAGACCCAAAAACATAAAAACTATCATTTTGAATTTCAATACAGAAGTAAGCTATAAAATGAACAAACCTCTGGGTAATCATGATATAATCAACTATACTGCCCCATTGGGGCACCAGAATGTAAATTCCCCTTTTATACCATTTGTCATTAAATCTATCTAGATCTAAGCTGTCCATATGTTGTGCCAAATCCTGCAATGTTATAGTTAGACTGGCTGGCTGGTAAACAACCATATCAATTTTATGGAGTATTGGCTGTTTAAAATAAATTTGCAAAAGAGTGTCATACTGACCAATCCTTGCATTAAAGTCATCAGCAATAATAATTATAGTGTCTGGGTATTGATATATGTAACCCTAGTTGAGCATTTATAATTTCTCAGACCTTGGGTTTCTAGAAATGCAAGTATAGGCCAACACATGATTATAAAACTTGATGTTTTAAGTTTGAATGACAAGAACTACAAGTATTTTTTTATAAACAATTTCAATACTTTAATCTGTCTTTTATAGGACCAGGATTACTTTTAGGCAAAATGAGATGGTATGACTTTAGGAAATAAAAGAACAGCAATTAATTTATTTTAATTTGTTTACTATTAATTTATTAATATTTTTAACCAGCATAATGGTAGTATTTGAATTCCCTGCAGAAGGGACCATCTTTCTCTGCTGTTTTTTCTAGTTATTCTGGACTGCATATCATGATATTGTATTTCTGATTCTATGTGACCTTAATAGTCCATGCAAATGACAAAGAATGGAAAAGCAAGAAACCACACAGGAAAGGAAAAGTGGCTTTAGTTGACTAAGATTTTTCAACATTTAATTATTTGATATCCTCCACATTCAAAGTGGTAGAATATGAACCCAAAGGAATTTTTGATCAGACTGTCTTTATCACTTTTAGCCTATCTTTTCTATAACACAAAATAATTAGTATGTTAAGCAGTCTTTAACATGATAAACTGGAATATTCAGAGATGCTGTAAGACAGTCTTTTCATTAATAAAAATATAAATCATGTGAACATGAAAATAAATTTATCTCCAACTATGAATGATGGAATATCATTTTAAGAAGAAATATACCTGGGGAGTGATGTTATTTTACCCCATTTCTCTATACAGAAACGCCGTAGTCCATTGCTCCCTCGAAGGGCTGCAAAGCCTTCATAAGGGACACTAGATGTTCCAGTAACAAACTGCAGCAGCCGTAGTCTTTGCTCATTGTTGAACCTTTCTACTGCGGCCCAGAACCATCGTATTACTATATGGCCATCATGGTAACCTAAAAGAAAAGATGAGTAAAAAACAAATGCATTAGAATCATGGAAAAAAGACATAATTGGATGTGAAGATGAACTAAACATGTTTTGCTCTATCTAGTCATATCTGCTCAAGATATGTGTGTTTTTTCCATATTAGTTTTATGTAATTGCTGGTATATCTGAATTAAGCATATCCTATATGAATAAAAAATGTATAGCTGTTAGACGTATAAACCAACCTACAATCTATGAAGTAAGTTATTTGACACATAAGACTACCTTAAATACATAGGGCAGAATTCCCAACAGTATCAGAACTTAATATAATGAAAAAATGGCAAGGAAGAATAATTGCAATGTTTACCACCCCGATATTCTGTGTTATTGCGCCAATCATTAAGATCGATTTCAGCTGTGCCAGCGATTACCAATTCTAGCTCTCTAGCATCAAAAACTGAAACAAGTCTTGAGTCTACGACCTGAAAAATAAAGCACAGATGCTAGCAATAAATACAGAAATGTCAAAAGACTCAATATTTTACACAAATTAGATATATTTGCAAATTCCTGAAAGCTGGTTTCCCATTATTAGAGATTTAATTGAATATTTTTCCCATGTATTATTTTAATGTGTATCAATTGTTTGCTTGCATAGTTTGGATCTGCAGATTTTATTAAGGCTATTATTGCACCATTCTCTGCCATTGACATAGCAATAAATGATAACACTGATCAATTACAGCTCAATAAAATGGTGATTATTTTAAATATTAGGTCAGTAGAAGAAAATTATTTTAAATATTATATCAGTAGAAAAGAATAGTGGAAGAGAGCCAGTTTGTTGTGGTGAAGGTGCCAGGCTAAACCAGGAAAATATGAGTTCTAATTCTGCCCTTGAGCAAGCCCATCTCTGAGCCCTAGGAAGCAGGCAATGGCAAATCAGTTTCAAAAACTTTGCCAACAATGTTTAAAGGATAAAAATCTACATTAAACTTAAAAAAAAACAGGAGAAAAAACTGCACAACTAAAATTTATGGCTTTGATTTAAGTTTTTGATTATCTATCACTCACAAAAATGGGGCTCAGAAGTTGTGCAAAAACTTCAAAATTGGTAATAATTTCATTTAAGCCAATCTCCGGGCCAAGGACCCACTACCAGGCTGCAGCCTATTTGAAACCAGGCCACGGGAGAGATGAACAAGTGCACGCACATAAAGTGCCACTTGCATGAGTGAAGGGTGCTTGTGCTTATGCAAGTCGAGCTTTGCACACGAGGGCAAGCATTCTCCACTCGTGTGAATGGAGCTTCATGCATGCGTCCACCTGCAACTCACACATACTCCCGTGCTAAGCCACCAAGCTGGAAAGGTTGGAGACCACTGATCTAAGGGACTTGGGCCCGGAGAGAAGGGAAAATATAACAATGAGCAGTACCAAGTTTTTAGCAAAAGTTTGTAGAGGGAAGCCTAATGTTATATAGGCACAAACCTTTACATTTATTTTCATTTTAAAAATGGAATTTGCACTTCAATTTGTCACAGGTTTACTACCAAAAACTGGTAAACTATTGAAAAATAGAAGTGAAAATTCCATTACTTAATATTAAAACAAATGTAAAAGTGTATAAGCATGGTATGCCTAAATAATGACAGGTCTTCTACTTATACTGATGCTTCCTATTAAGATTTGAAATCACTACTAAACCAGTTAATTATCTGTCCTTTTTTGTACTGAATTTGCTGTAATTGAAATGCCCTAATGCAGTGGTTCTCAACCTTTCTAATGCCGTGACCCCTTAATACAGTTCCCCATGTTGTGGTGACCCCCAAGTGGGTGTGGCCACCAATAAGAGGGAGTAGGACAGCTAGGGAAAAGGGAAAAAATGGCGGACAGCGTGGTTTGGCGACCCCCGTGAAATGGTCATTCGACCCCAAATGGGGTCCCGACCCACAGGTTGAGAACCACTGCCCTAATGCTTATGACTCTTCAACTCTTATTTGATAACATATGATACATACTTCGTAGAAGCCACGAACTAGTGCCTCGGTTTGCTGAACAACCCCTCTTTCTACTCGCCACTTAACCATTCTTTCAATATACTCCTTCTTGTTCTTTTCAGTCACTTGTGTATTTGCACCTCCAGATTTCAACTCTCTTTCTGTTACCTAAAAAAAAAAAAAAATCAAATAAGCAAAACATAAATATTGGACAGGAATATAGAAATTACTATTACCACAATTACTTTCAACTATCAAATATTGCTCAAAAAAGATATTGCCTGAAGGTATGTATTGCTATGCTGTCTGATATTGCACTTCCGAAAAGCTAGCATTACACTTTTTTCAAATGGTATTATTTTATTATGTTATCCAAATTCAAACTGGGCATTTATTCCTAACAATACTGAAGAATCATTTTAAAATAGAACCTCTGTCTATGACTTTTCCCTAGGTTTTTGTTTCTATTTCATCTTTTAATATTTTTAACATAGCATAAATATTTCAATGCGGTATTTGTTTGAGAGCTCTTATGGATGTTCCTTGTGGATGTTTATTTTTTTGTTATAAACCACAATGAATCAATTTATTGAAATGGGAGGTATGATCATTTGCTTTCTATTTTTTTAATGTTTTATTGATTTTCTAATTTTACATTTAAGTATTTAAAAAGCAACATGACGGCTGAGTTAATTGATAATTCAATGACATAGAAGTATCTTTAGTACAAGTCTCAAACTACCACATTAAATATTTCCTCTCTTTTCCCCTTAGTATTTACTGTCTTATGTTTAAACTAATACAATTCTTATTATATCAATTAAATAAAAATAATATTCTTACATTTATCAATAATTTTTAGCTTATACATATCCTGGTTATTTTAATATTCAGTCTTTATAGATAATCAATGTCCTAATTAGTTTTTCCCAATTTTTAGTTTCCCATTAATATTTAAATTTAACATTTAATATTTATAATAGTTATATATCTCCTCCCCGAGCTCTCTCAGTGAAGTGGCCGATGTGATGGGCCGTTGCCTTGAAGCCGTGAGGGTCTGGATGGGGATTAACAGACTCAGGCTCAATCCTGACAAGACCGAGTGGCTTTGGATATTGCCTCCCAAGGATCATGTCGACTGTCCAGTGTTGACTCTTACGGGGGAAAATATATCCCCTTCAGAGCGGGTTCGCAACTTGGGTGTCCTCCTTGATCCACAGCTGAATTTGGAACATCAATTGACGGCTGTGGCTGGGAGGACCTTTGCACAAGTTCGCCTGTTGCACCAGTTGCGACCCTACCTGGACCGGGAGGCTCTCCTTACAGTCACTCATGCCCTTGTCACCTCACATTTGGACTACTGCAACGCGCTCTACATGGGGCTACCCTTGAAAAATATTCGGAGACTACAGTTGGTCCAGAATGCAGCCGCGCGAGTGATAGTGGGTGCTGCTCGATACACCCACGTTACACCTATCCTCCGTGAGCTGCACTGGTTGCCTATTGGTCTCCGGGTCCAATTCAAGGTGTTGGTCATTACCTTTAAAGCCCTATATGGCTCAGGGCCAGGCTATTTGCGAGACTGCCTACTACCTCATAGTTCCCTACGTCCGGTTAGATCCCACAGGCTGGGCCTCCTTCAGGCCCCGTCGGCCAAGCAGTGCCGTTTGGCGGGGCCGCGGAGGAGGGCCTTCTCTGTGATGGCGCCCACACTTTGGAACCAGCTCCCCCCGGAGATTAGGACTGCTCCCACCCTGTTGGTCTTCCGTAAGCTACTTAAGACCTGGCTTTTCCGGCAAGCCTGGGGTTTTTAAAACCTGACCCCTGGATGATTGTCTTTGTACTGTTGTTTTGTTATGTTTTATGTGTTTTTTTTATTGTTAGCCGCCCAGAGTCCTTCGGGAGTGGGGCGGCTTATAAATTTTAAAAATAAAATAAAATAAAATAAATAATTTCCAAATTTTAAGTAACCAAAGTTCCCTTTATCACAATTCATCACAAAGTCTAATATTCAGGATACACGTCTTATCTATTTGAATATATTTCTCACCATCTTACATCATCTAATTAATAATACAGTATAACATTCTTATTTTCTATTAATTTCCAAATGTCTTAAATTTAGTAACCAAAATTTCTCTTGTTTCAACATCAAATACTTCCTCTCTTTTTCTCTTAATGTCTACTATCTCATATTTAAGCTAATACAGTTCTTATTATATCAGCTAAGTAAAAACATGTTTATTACATTTATTAATAGATTTTTAGCTTATATATATCTTAATTACTTTTACATTCAACCTTCATAAACAAATCAATATTCAAATTTAACTTTTAATATTTATACTTCCAAGTTTTAAATGACCAAAGTTTTCTTTATCTCAGTTCATAACAAAATCTAGTATTCAAAGTACATATCTTGTCTATTTGAGTATATTCTATTTTAATCCTTACTAATAAGTCAAAACCCCAATTTTCTTCAGCCTTATTCTAGCTTTCTTTCTTTGCCAATTTGCCTTCCATATCCATGCTTTTAAGTCAAATAGATCTGCCTGTTATTATATATATTTTTTGACATAAAAGAGGCCATCCAGTTGCCATTTTTTTGGAAGTGCTAACAAATCGTCTCTCTATTTTTCCATCTTGATGTAGTTGTCCTGAAATGTTTATCTCCTCTTCAGTCTGTTCTTCTTCTCGATCCTCAGGTTTCTTCTGTTTTATATAGAAAGACTTTTCCATTTTCAGTGTTGTCACAGTCCCTTTTCTGGGTTTTCTGTTAACTGTGTTGTTGATCAGTTGAATCTTCTATCATAGTATTTGATTGTTCCACTTCTATTATATTTTGTGTAGTTGATTCTTTAGTTGTAATCAAAATTTGGGTTCGCATATCTAGGCTGACATTTTGCTCTTTTCTGTAGCTTCTTATTTCATCAGAAGCTATAAGAATAGTTTCATAAATTGCTTTTAGCATAAAGAGAATCTGTTCCTGATCTTCATCCATATTCTCTTAGTGGTGTGTTAAATTAAAACCTTTACAATCAGAAAGTGAAAATAATTTTGTCACTGAGTATAGAACACAGCTGGGCTTCTCACAGCTGATATCTGCCAAGGTTGCAAAAGTCTTATCTATAGTCTATGCTTCAAGCCAAGTCTCTTTTAGACAATAACAAGTTGTAATATCAGGTTTAGTTACAAGATGTTGCCCATACCATTTAAGATTTTTTTAAGTCCAAAATTTTTATAATCTTTTTTCCAATTTTACTTCTTTTTTTAAGTAAAAACCCAAATCTTTAATAAAAATAAGAAATCTTTTAGTCCTCAAATTTTAGAAACATAGAAATCCAGTTAGAATCAGGTTATTTTTTCAGCGTTTTAAGCTCCCCTGGATAATCAGTCGTGGCTGTTTTTAGAGGGTGGAATAGAACTTCCCTCCCCTCTCTCCACAGGGGGGGGAATATTTTGGGCAGCTTATACAGGTAGAAAAAATAGTTACGATTGAAGAGAGATTCAGATCTCACCCAGTCTCATCCGAGCTGCTTTATAGGTGCCTGGTGGTTTGACTTTGGCTGTCTGCAGCCTAATGATGGCCCATATTTCTATGGCCAGTCTTTCGTCCGCTGGTTTGGAGGGCTGCCCTGGATCGAGTGGAAGGGCTACCGCCCTCCTATGATCAAGCGGGGGTCCTCTCCTTGCTTGTCACCCCTACAGGGTGACTTTTGACCCTTTCCAGGGTCCCTCAGTGGTGTGAAATTGGGTGTGGAAGATGGAGCTCGTCTTCTGGCATCCATGGCAGCCACATCGGCAAACCGTAAGTCAGGCATTTGCTTTTTAATCAGTATTGTCTTTAAAATTGTATTAGTTATCTATGCCAGCAATAGTTAAAAAATGGGGGTGTTGGTCGTTAAAATGGTTAACAAATTCTCTAAATCCTCATTATTTCACCATTTACCTAAAAAGTAGATTTCTGAATAAAGCAGCTAGGACCAATTTTTTTCAACTTTTTATTTCCAAAAAATTCCATCTAGATCAAACAGATTTTTTATATGGATTTTTTTATTAGTCTAAATATTTTTATCAGTCTTAAAATTCCCAAACTACTGCACCTCTCTATTATTTTAATTTAGCTTTATTTAAATTGCATTATTTGGAGCAGATTCCTGGTTTTCCAGTATCCAAATTAAAAGAAATATTAATCTATCTGAAATTTTAGTAATTCAGATATAGTATATGCTAATCTTTGACTGTAATAAATATTTGATTGATTTAGGTTGAGATACATCCAGGTTTAAGAACTGCATTCTTATTGGTAATGCTGTGACTTGCTATTTTTTTTATCTGTGTTGAAAGAATGCAGGATTTTAGAAAGATACCTGCTTATTAGCAAATTGATATGAAGAATGAATGTTGGAACCAGTTGTTAACAGTATTTAACTTTATTTTGCAAATAAAATGAGATAGTCTCTACATCGTTCCTGCATTTTCTTAAAAGAAGGTACTTACCTAATAATAATAAATAAATAATAAATAAAATTTGTTTTGCCTCTGCTATTTACATGAACTTTCCACCCAGTTTGCTAAAACCTTTTATTTGTGATGGACTCAACAAATCCTAACATAAATAAATCCCAATGATGATTGTAAAGACATTAAGCAAAGGAATACTTGTCCATTCTTATTTTATAATACTGTACTTGCTGTTTCTTGTCTTCCTATACTTTTAATAACTGATCTCCTGTTGAAATTTGTTCCTCAATTGAAATTTTTGTGACTCTTACTTTCTAACTTTTAGTAGACTCATATTAAGTTACCTGCCCAAACACTTCCTCATTCACTGTGAAAGTGAGATCCAGAATATCAGTAATGATGTTGTCTTTCATCCATTGTAAACTTTGGTGGAATTCTTCATCCAGATATTCCATATCACTAAGGTCACATGGCCTGATTGACAGATAGATAATAGATAATAAATAAATAATAAATTATGTTCAGGTTTCAAATAGTAAAATATTAAACAGTAGCATCAGTTCAAATTTCAACTGTCATTAGCTACCTGCAAACAGAGCTAAGCATTGTATCTCTATTCAATGGCAGTAAAATTTTGAATATGAAGAATGCTGAAAACTTTTACGGCATGATTTTGTATTAGCTTCCTAGGGATCCTCTAGTTGGTTAGGAAAAGAAATTCTTAGTTAGATTTAGAGTGATTTTATACACACACACACACACACACACACACACACACACACACACATAAAATAATAAAATATACGAACACCAGGAAATTACAAAACTATAAAAAGTTTTAATAGAATAAAACCAAGCTTTCGCTGGCAACTGCCAGCATCATCAGGGTAGCGTCCAGTCGATGGGAGAAGCTATTTATAAATGTGGCACTCTTTGCGCCTGGCTTCTTGACCTCGTCATAGGTCCTAGCCAATCCACCTGCGTTTTGATCGTAGTTTCTGTATTGCAAGCTGTTTTTATTATTTAACATGAATCTACCCAGGAATAACCGTTTTGTTTTTAATATTCTTAAGAATATATATATATATATTAAATGTTATTAGAGTGAGTTACAACTTGTTGATTCATGCTTGATATTGTTCTCTTCTGATCATGAAGTGTTATTGGATTTTTTATTCATACAAAACTTTGCTATACAGATTTTTTTTACAAAGTAGTAATTCAAAATATTTCATTGTAACATACACAATAAAAGGGTAATAAAATATGTTTTGCCAAAATATATTTTAGGGAAATAAATTCAGATACGTCCTATTGAATTCAAAATTCCCCCCGTTCCCATACCTAAACGCAGTCAAGTATATGAATGCATCATAGTAAATATAATGTTCAATCAACACACTTTGGTAAGTGATATTCTAGTTTAAAAAAGGGAACCCTTCTTTCTAGAAAAAAGTTATTCTGCTATAGGTATAGACTCTATAACTTTAAACTTTTTAAATAATTTTATCTGTGATTCTTGAACAACAAAATTTTAAATGGCTAGAGTTGCACAAATAAGCATCTTCTTGAAAATAGGCTCACTGTGCTTTAAAGATAGATTATTGCAACTTCTCAGTGAGTTCTATCTCACTCACACACATTGGCACAGATTAAATATCATAAATATGCTGATCTTAGTTGGTTATCTAGACCATCCTTCCCATCCATTCAAGGAATGTTGCCAAGATTCTGCTTGGTGTCTGGATGCTTCCTCCACAAAGGGGTGTGAAATTGGGAATTAGAAATTAGGGTTGAACTGTACCAAACAACCTGGTGTGCGATCTGGGGATTCTAGACTCTTCGTTCCATTTGAACAACTGGGTTGGACAGCCTTTGTATAGCTCTAACTTGCACACCAGTTCTGCCTGCTTTTTGATTGGAAGACCCTGCTCATGGACACACTTGCTATGGTCAGCTCGTAATGGGATTATTTAAATGAACTTTATATGGGCCTGCCCTTAATAGCTACTTATAAAATGCAACTTGTCCAGAACATAGTGGCATGGATAGTAATGAGACCACCTCACAAACTACACTGTTTTCTAGTGAGATTTTGAATGCAGTTTAAGGAACATGTTCTTATCTATAGAACCTCTCGTGCTGGTAGGCTAAACTATTTGTGGGACCATCTGTTTCTAATTATTTACATTCAACTGGTAAGATCTAAAAGGATCAGCATGCTTTAGATCACAGGTGTCAAACTCAATTGCATCACGTGATGTATTGTGATGTATCGTGACTTTTTTGCCTTTGTGGAGCCAGGATGGGCGTGGCCTGTACATGACGCATCTGACCTGCGGGCTGCCAGTTTGATACCCCTGCTCTAGATTGCTTAGGCAATGTCATCTGGTGGGATCCAGAAGAAACAATTTCTCTGGTACCAACAGCACCACCATTTCTCTATGAGATTGGATTGGTCCCAACTCTGCCTGCCTTAAAAAAGCTTTTCAGACTTCCCAAGGGCACTAAGTCGGAGACTGGCATGAACCCCTTGAATGAATTTTTCTTGGCACTTTATGTCTGTATATTTAATTTACTTTGTCATTTTTATATGAATTTAGTTGCAATTTACTGATGTGTGCTGACCTGAGACATGTTCTGAACAGGTGGCTATATAAATTGAATGAATAAATAAATTAAAACTCTCTTTAAAATTCCACTCATCCCTCATTGCCAGGAGATTAAAAAATGCCATAATGTTTTTTTTCATTGAATTTGTAAATACTCACAGCCTTAACAATGCTTTGTAGAAGGGCCTTGTGAAGAAAGCATCAAGTAGGTACTGATGAATAAGAGCAAGACCAAGGATACGACCACTAAATCGGAACCTGTACCAAAAACATACATAATGAGGGATGTGTAGTTTTTGAAACAATATATTCCTTTTTCCTTTTTTTCTGTCTGAAAATAATGTAATACATCTAATAGCAATCAAGGCATTTCACTGACATGTAAAAATTGCCTTGATGATTTTATCACTGGATTCATTTCATATGATCCGAATTGATTTTCTAAACAATTTCCTTCCTGGCAATGTGATACAATTGCATTGTAAAATTAAAAAATTAAAATAAACCAGAAAATCAGTCTAAATTAATCCCATCTTTTACAAACAGAAGTGCTTTGGGTCAAATCCTATGCTATCCTAGGTAAGCCACCTTACAAGGAATAGTACTTGCAAGGTAATAGGGCTGTGAAATGATCCATAAAGTAAAAAACATTATCTGGATTGCCTGATGATATGTATGTTATATCTATCGACACAGAAGCACTCCAAATCACCTTTTCTGCTTTGAATGTAGATCATAGCATTAACATAGTTTGGACCATCATGGGGAAAAAACTGTGGTTTCATGTAAACTTATTAGAGAGGACAGAGGATACTGAATTAGGAAGCCCATTGACCTTATCTCTTGGTGTTTTATCTTTTAAAAAATAAGCAAGAAAAACTATCTTCATACCATTTTCATCATTCATCTATTGTTTTACCCCCTTCTAAAAAGTTGAAGGTCACAGATATACAAAGAATATTGTAGCAATTCTACTACTGGGCGTTCAGCAAATTCAGAATTTTGCACTTAAACGAACTTCTTGTTTAAAAACAATGTTAAAATACTACTTTAAAAAGATTAATAAAACATTTTTCTGAATGAATTTAAATATGATATCTGTATAAAAACAAATAACAGAAAAATTAATTGTAATTGAAAGGCAAATATCTTGGTTAAAGTCTTATTTTTCTTTCTAAATAAATATAATTGGAATTTTGGGAGGAAATACAAAAGGAGAAGAAAATGTTAGGAAAGTAATAAACAATTAAATAGATATGTAAAAATTGATATATACTGTAGGTCCTAATCTATTTAGATATTGATGGGAATTAAAGTAAAAAAAAAATACATTAGCACAAGTATATATAATTGAATCTGCTTGCTGTATCAGAACAAGGGGATAACTAATTCAACCATCTGTTTCAACAGTGGCTATAGGCCTATGTAATATCCACAAAATAGAACATGGGCATCACTGTATAGAATTTGTTGGCTCATGCTCCACTGTGTTGATAAAACATGATAAAATTCATTACACATATACTAAAACTAAAGTTTTAGACTTCAAGCAGACAAACTATCGAAACTGAAGAGTATCCAAAACATAAACTTGAAGAGTGGCATAAAGTCACAGGAATCAGTTCTCAATAGATACTGCCAAAATCTGCCAACTTAGAGACAACGAGTCTCTATGTGAGGCACATTAGTACAAGCAAAAGAAAGAGAACACACTCTGGTTCACAGCAGGTATACATAGGCTAATAAAGGAGGGGGGGGGGGAAATCAGGATATATCGATATAAGAATAGCAAAAATGTAGCTAGTAGAGTAGTATATAAGAACCTACAAAAGAAGCCAAAAAAGTTATTTTCTGCTAAAACACAGAAAGATGAACTGGCTAGTGAGATAATCCACTTAAAGGTTAATAAAGCAATGGGCCTGGATAGTATTCATCCAGAGTTTTGAGGGAACTGATTTGTTTAATCAGTCTCTTCTAACAGATGAAATTCCCCAAGACTGCTGAACAGCAATATTGTACCCTTGCACAAGAAGAGGGCTAAAGAAAAAGCTAGGAACTATAGACCAGTGAGCTTAACTCTGTACTACTGAAGTTAATGGAATCACTTCTGAAAAAAAGGAATAAGGAACATTTAAAGGCACAGAACTTAATGGATGCAAAGCAGCTTTACAGAGAACCGATCATGTCAAACTAATGTGACTTTTTAAAATTATGTGATAAATGTTTTGAATAAAAGTGGTGCTGTGGACATAGAATATCCACATAATGAGCTCATACAAAGTTGTGTAAGCTAGGCCTTAACCAATGGATTGTTCAATGGGTAGAAAATTGTCTCAGGGATAGGCTCCATTGTGTGATTATTAATGGGGAACTTTCTGAACAGAGATCAGTCTGTATAGCGTTAATGAGGGAAAAAAATATTTGATCCCTTGCTGATTTTGTACGTTTGTACAAAATTACTTTGCTTATATTTGCAAAGTAATCACTAAAGATCAGTTTCTATATTCCAAAGTCCACATAATAGCCTTGCTTGATTTTCTCTTCTTCCAATAATATTCTCTTTGCCAACCTTGAATTGATACAATTCTTATTAGTTTGATAGGTAACAATTAAATATAAAGATTTTTCTAAATTTTCTACAAATAATAATCACATCAATATCATTCTTCTTTTCTATCTGCTCATTTTGGTTGCCTCGTCATAAATCCTGTTTACAATTCTTATTTAAATTTGTTTTCCCTACAATGTTCAACTCATTCTTACTGGTTAATATTTTCTCAAGGTTAATTACATTTAAGTATTTAAATCTGTTTTCCTCATACAGGTCATCCCAACACTTTTACATTCTCATGTCTTAAAAAGTAAAAAAAAAAGACAAAAAAAGGAAGAGAGAAAAAAAGAGAGAAAAGAATAAGAAAATAATATACTACTTAAAATACATATCACTCTTAAACCAATATACATTTATCTCCAAAATTTTTCTGTTCTTTTTACCCATAATTAAACATATGTTTAATCTTTAGATGTTCCATTTAATAAATCCAGTCATCTAATCTTTTAACTCTATTCAAAACATTTTTTAAATTATTCACTGGAATTTTCTTAAAGTCAATTACATTTAAATATCTAAAACATTTCCTTTACATTGACCATCTCAAACATTTTTATATTTCTCATATCAAAAAATAAAGTAAAAAAAAAGAAAAGTAAGAATACTATATTTCTTGGGGGGTTCATCCCTCTTAAGCTAAAATCTTTTTATTTTTTCAACCATATTCAAACAAGTGTTTAATTTTTAAATATTCCCTCTGATACATCCTATCGTCTAATTCCTCAATTCTCACTTTAACCCCCTTCTTTTGCCAAACATCTTTCCCAATCAATATATTCTGTTGAATAAAAGAGTCTTTCCATAATCCTGCAAATGTTATTGTAGATATAAGAGGCAAATCAAGCAACATGTCTTTGTAAAAAGATTTTGCCCCTTCATATTCATTGAAGATCCTGTCTTTTCTTTCTCTCTTAATTTCTCTTATCACAAAGAAGAGGGAGTCAAGCTATTCTCCAAAGCACCTGAAGGCAGGACAAGAAGCAAAGGATGGAAACTAACCAAAGAGAGAAGCAACTAAAAAGAAACTTCCTGACAATTAGAACAATTAATCAGTGAAACAACATGCCTCCAGAAGTTGTGAAAGTTCCAACACTGGAAGTTTTTAAGAAGAGACTGGACAGCCATTTATCTGAAATGGTATAGGGTTTCCTGCCTGAGCAGTGGGCTGGACTAGATGACCTCCAAGGTCCCTTCCAACATCATCATCATCATCATCATCATCATCATCATTATTATTATCATCATCATCATCCCTTGTCTCCCAATTTCTCATGGTACTCCCAGCAGCTCTGCAATCCATTTTGTCAAATCTTTTTTCTTATCCTCAAGATTTATTTTGTGGTCTTAAGGTGCAAGTTATCTTTTCCATGTCCAATGTTTCTTGTAAGTCCTTCTTCACTTGAATCAAGTCATACTTCCTTATATTATTAGGTTCCATCTTTAAATCTCTTTCCTCCAATTTATATTCAATTATCTGCTTTATCTGTTCCCTCTCCATTATTATCCTCTGAGAGTTCTTTTGCCATGAAGTCAAATTGGAGATGGATTTATTTATACTTTCAAAGTCATTTTTAATTTCGTCGTGGTTTAAGATCATTGTTGTTTGAATTAGTTGCAACATCTCATATATCTCCTCCTGGAAAGTATTTGATTTTTCTTGATACAGTCTTTCTACAGATCTCTGATTTTCCATAATAGCCAAAAATCAAGGTTTTCCTTTCTCTGCAAACAGCTTTAGAGTCAGAGTTAAGTTAATATTTGTAATCCAGAAAGGTCAGATTTTTTTTAAAGTTTATACTTCTCATTTTGTATGTAGCCCAGAGTGTTTTCTTTTTTTGTCACAGCTGTTCTCTATTATTAGAACTTTGAAAGTGATAAGAACAGATTAACTTTTCTCGGGCTTTAGTCTTGCATTAGAGCAACTGTTGTTGTAATTTTCATCTATCACCAGTTCATTTTTTTCAGTTTCAAAATAAAGAGTCATCTTCTATTTTCATAGTTTAAAATGAAGATCTTAAGAGATTTTAGACAAATAACAAACTTATTCAGATTTAGGTCTTATATTCATTTTATTTCAATATATTTCTCCCCCATTAAATGTTTAATTCACCGCTTCCGTCTGAAGAAGGTTGGAGCAAAGGTCCCCCTCTTCATTTTCGGCGGTTTTTTTTTCTTCTTGAGTTTTTTCCCCAGGAAATTAATTAATATGTAGAATAGAGAAAATCGATGTTCTTAGTCAGTTCCAAGCATATTGTTTACAATCAGCTTAAAATAGTGCTTTTAGGCTTTGGTTTGGGCTAGACTCTGAAGTTAGGCTAGCCTTTCTCCTGTTGATTTCTGAAAGGCTTTTCCTGGACTGATTAGGTCAACCACCGTCTCTCCGTGGTCCACAGGACTTCCTTCCTTCTTTGCTGCCTCTTTGGGGTGACTTCTGGCCCATTTAGGGTCCCCTAACAGGCAGAAAATCAGCTGTAGGGTATGGAACCCCGCGGACCCTTGGCTGTGCAAAACCGGAAGCCCAGAATTGATCAATCTATAATTTAATGCTAGGTTTATTTTAACAGTGAGAGACAGAATAACAACAAAAAATCCAGAAAAATGCATTTTAAAAAAGTTATAAATTGATTTGCATTTTAATGAGTGAAAT